CACACACAAACACACACACACACGCGTGCGCACAGCAGAATATCTTTCGGCATGGCAGGCGAGGGAGCACAAGAAGCTCGGAGGCTTCGATTCAACCGGCGTTGCGTGCGGCAAGGCGTCAGTTTGTGTGTTCTGGCAGTGTTTTGTATGCATTCCCCAGAGATCGGTCCGTGTTCCGTCTTCAGAGAAATCTCCGCAGATGCACAGCTCCTTTGGTCTCCAGCTAGCAGCCCATGCATGTGTGAGTGAGTGTGTGAGGGAGTCAGGGAGGGCATTGCGCATGTAGGACATTCCAGAACGAGTCCGAGCTGAGCTGGAAGCCGTGTACCAGGCGGTTTGCTGATCTTGCGGCCGCAGGGCAGATCTGGACGTGCCTAGGCCTAGAGTCCCTTGCATACCACCTCTTGCTACTCACCTCATGTTGTGATACGGGGGTGCGACGTTCCGCGATTCCTACGCTGATTCGAAGGCCAGCCCAGATTCTGAAAGGACAGAAGCTGTGCTCAAGGACGGACCGAGTTTGCTCCACTCTTTTGTGACAGGAATCTTGTTCGCCTTCTTTTTTCTGCACCGATCTGCCAGCTGCTACTGTTGTATAAATTCAGCTTTGTGTCGGACCGGTTCACTTGAAGCTGCCACGGCCAAAAGTGGGTGCGATGCAGGACTTCGACACGATCCACATCGACACGTCGACCGTTGAAGACGAGTGGTAATGCCCTCGATCGTCGGCCAAAGTTTGAGGCGACTGCACATTCGGAGTATTAGATGTGGGGCCCAAACCAGCAAGGTGGGGAGGCATGCTTGGCGAAAGCTATGCTGACATAGACGAGAATCAGCAGGCACGGCTGTAACACTGTTGCGACATATCAACGGTGGTTCTGCACCGCCGGCAGGCGTTGATGCGTCGACTCCGGAGCATGCGCGGCTCCGTGGCCAGGGCCCCATGGGCCTCACATGGCCGCAAGATCTGGGGCAGATGCAAAACCCCAGGCCGTGAGTCGGGCTCAGCTAAGTCAAGCTGTGTGTCAGCTTGCCAAGGCGGGTGGTGGAGCTGCAACCGTGCTGGTTGGCCACTCCTACTGCATCCGCATCCTGGCAGATTCAGCTGGTTCACTCCTTTTCGCAGCACCCCTTCTCCCCACATCATCCATATCTCGGGGGCGCATGGAGGCGCGATGGGCTTGCTGTAGTCAGAACTCAAGACAGTCTCAGGTTCCATCTTCGACGCCTATCTTCCGAGCAGCCACCCACCGAGATCAGCAAGACTTGCTTTGTGTCACGCTTTGTCACGCTGGCTTTGCTTCGCACACCTTCGCAAACCCTGCGTTCTGCCGCGTCTCTGCTGCGGCATCGCCTGTGCCAGTCGTATGCCGGTAGCTCTTTTAGTGCGTGAAACTGTCTTCCGCCAGCTTTGACACCACTGAAACTTCTGACAACCAACAGTTGGATGCCAGAGGTGCAACGCCTGATGCGGCTTCCCTTCGCAGCAAAGCGCTTCCATGCTGTGGAGTCGTCGGGGCCAGGACCTGTGCAGGGCAAGTGTGCGCGCAGTAGCTAAAACGACGTTGGTTGGAATGCGCGGTTGCAAAATCTGTAAAGTGCTCTGCAGGATTGTTTGGACCGATGCTGGTCCGCCCCTGTCGGATGCAGCCACTTCTAATCTCTTTGAGAACAACTTCCATGAACTGCCTGTGCCTAAGGCCTTCCGGTCATACGCGAGGCCATCCCACTGCTGGCAACCCATCTTGTGCGGTGCTCGGTAAATCATATTCACTAGCTTGACAGTTGATGTGAAGAAGCGCAGGGAGTTCTTTGCGTCAAAGGAGCCAGCAGAGCGCGAAGTGGACGGGCAGGGGAGCCGCGCCAGTAGCCCCGACCTCAAACACCTGCGCACGCGGATGGCGTGTTTGTTTCTCGGGCTCCAATGGCTCATCGACTTCAGGCTGTGCTTGTGGGCGCGGCAAGGTTGATTGCGAGCGGAGCTTAGTCTCGAACTCTTCCGATCTCCATTTGCTGCCTCGCTGCGCGTGGCAACCCTAATTCGAGGTGATCTCATAACTCCTGATGGACAGCCTGAGACATGTGAGCAGTTGGCAGATAATGCATGAACTGCAGCGACTATGTCTGACACGAAGGGAGCGGCTGCAAGGGCTTGCCTCTCCCTGGGCTGTGTCTGTGAAATGTTTGTTCCTGCACCGTAGCTCGTCTTGCAAGCTGTGTTGCGGAATCCTCTGCAGTTTTCTTGGCGGGACACGCTGCCTGCTGATGCTGGCGGTTCTCCGTGCGCTGTACCTTACTTGACGTCGTGATGCATTGGCGGGAGGATTCCAAAATAGAGTGCGAGACGTTGATTTCGGCATTCCTTTCGAATTCCAGTTCGTTCACTTACACTACGAAAATCCAACTACACAAGCTTTCAGCAGGCTTCGGCAGAGCGTACTGCTGCGTCGTTGGATATATTCAAATTACTGAGACTGGATCTCAGCATGCCTTTTAATCTTGCTTCCAGGCAGTGGTCACTGGGATGGCTCCGTGGCAGACTGGCCGGAACAACAATTCACAGTTTCCGCCTCACACTTTGATCAAATCTGCGAAGAGTCCTGGAGCAGGTGGTTGTTGGCCGTGGGCGGGACCAGAAGGTATCTGCAGCTCTCTGCCTGTCAGGTGCCTTGGCCGCAGGCCTTAGGAATACGGTGTACCTTCAGAAGAGCCGTCGGAACCACTCGAGTGAGCTATTCTCTGTTCGGATGTTTACTTCTGTAAACTTGTTTACCGTCAGGTCGTGCTGAATCTGTTTGCACCCATTCTGAAATCTCGAGCAAGATCATCCAGAGCCTGGCATGGCGGTAACTGTGGCAACTCGCCATCCTCGCGCCAGATCGGCAACCAGCCACTTCATAAACTGCAGCAAAGCATCATGACAATCATGATGAAAAGCACCGCATCGCAAGAATCCATTACCCAGCTGAGCAGCATGTGAAAAGAGTCCCAACTGGGCCAAGGTTAGATTTTAGGGCACATTTAGAGAACTTCATTTTCCTTTAGGGTTGAAGTGCAATTTGTCAGCTGCCAGAGGTGGGGGGGGGGGGGCATGTTAGTTCAACGAAAGCATTTGGACGGCTTCGAGACAACGGATCTCCAGGGTCGAGTTGTGGTTCTGACTAGACATCTTCCAACATACTCTGCCTGTCAGCCACGCCCCAAACGATGAAGAGCACTGCAGATTGCCAATGACAGAGCGCCGCATACAGCCGGTGTCTGACGCAATGTTGGATGAAAGCAGCACATCCTTATGGGGATGATGCGTATCTAAACCCGCATCTCGGACACTTTTGCTGACCCATCGGCCGCAAGCCCAGCCCGCACAGTGTCGACCATGACGGAAGATCTACAAGAGGAAATATTCATGTCAGCCCTTACCAAGTTATACCAAGTTCGAAATGACACGATGGTGCCGCCAGCTCTGCACTGTTATGTGTCGTTTCGATTTTAGACGATGAAGTTTGAAGTCGGGGCACACACAGGCTAAGCGTTCAGAAGAGTGGTACTGCCTCCACAGACGGGTTTCCCTGGATGAGAACAGGAAAATCCTGGAAAGGCCACGTCCAACATAGTATCCAGTCCCATCAGCGTGAGGTGCAGTCGAAGCCGCCGGGCGTCCCGGCAACAGTCCCAGACAGCTCCAGGCCAGAGCCTGGTACCGCCGTTCCTTTGCTCCATTGCAGGTCTGCTGCTACAGGAGCTACACCGCCCCGAAGCCGCAAGATCCGCTCGCACCCTACGAGGCAAATGTAAGGACTTGTGTTACTAGCTCTTGCTGCAGCTGCATGTAAAGAGCCTCTCTGTTCGCATGCACGTTGCAGAAAACAAGAACTGCGACCTTCTCTGCCCTGACGTGGCGTGTCAAGCAAGGAAGAGATCCAGAATTTTTCGATGGCAAGTGCTGCTGGTCCAGAGTCTCTGCAGCAGGTAAGCTATTGTGAAGAATCGCTACAGTTACAAGTAGCGAGATGCAGATGTCAGTAATCTAAGGAACCCTGCCAGTTGGATTGAGGCTACCGCGTGGCAGTGATCCTGTGAAATAATCGTATGCAACGAGTCCTGTGCAGGACCCACTCGCCACAGAGCAAAGATCGCGACAACGCCGAAGTCTTATCGACGCCAAGGCACTCGGCATGTTTTGGGCCCCAGATGCCAAAGGTTCTCAGTACCAAAAAGCAGCCCTTTTCTGGGTTGCTTGTCATCGTTCTCGCAGGCTTCCGGATCTCCAGGAGCTGCCAAAGCTGCAGGCACACGTTTCTCTGTTTGGTTTTGTTGTTTGGGCATGGGCGGCGCTCGGTTTGCTGCCCTTCGAGCAGCTGTGCACGGATGAGACAGGTCCGAAATCTGACAAAGTCGCTTGGCTGCATATGGCTTCGTGCAGCATCATGATTCCGATTTTGTTTTTGGAGAGGCAGATGCACTGAGCAGTGGCTTCGAACTTTTCGGTGACTTCGATGTGGAGGACACCTAGTCGTCGCATGTCGTCGCAGCAGCCCACGCTGCGATCCGGTCAAACGGAACGCAATTGGTTTGCTGCCACAAACTCTGGATACCAGAAATGTTGAAACACATATGAACATGTGGCTGTGACTGATGCAATACTTGTAGCTGTCAAGGCTTGCTCTTACCGCTAGCGCGCGAGGCGTTGTTCGACGACTTGGACGGTGACGAGGCCTTGTGTCGACCTGCATCTGATCTCTTGTCTCGTTGGCCTTCCTTTGTCTTCCTACATCTTTGTATCTGCAAGGCCTACGGGCCAACCTCTGGAGCGCCCGGAGGCTTCTGAACGCGCCACTGTTGGTTTAGCGTTTCTCTTCCCACCGCATTGCGTGCTGAGCAGGTGCGACCATGCTGGATGCAGACAGCTCCATCGACGATTTCTTCGATGTATCATCACTCAGAACATGCAACATGTCATGCGATCACTCTTTCGCAAAATGTGTCGAGCATGCAGTCCTTGCTCTGGCCCGCGAGCGCAAGCAGGAGTCGTTTCAACATCCGCTAGTGCTTCAATGAAGTGATGACCAGACTCCGAACAAATATCCTGGCACGTCCGAACCGAACTAAGTCACTCTTGGACGATTCCTTCTCGGATTTGAAGACAGGCGCTGCCTGTGTCCGACTCAGCCTCGACTAGTGACGAGTGACCGTTGCGGAAAGGCGCAGCGCCACAGACGGCCACGGCCGCCTCGAAAGAGCCGCCGGCAAGCGTGCGAGAAGTGTCGGGCTGAGCCTGGGCAGACCTGCTTTCTGTGGCGCATCGCTTGAGTCTGAGATCGACCCTGCAACACCAAACGGCTCGTCCGAGTCGGGTCACTGGCCAAGCTTTGTAAAATTTTGTAAAAGGTCAATCCAGCCTTCCAGTGTTTGAGCTTCAAGACTGCCAGGCTACCAACCGACAAAATCCATGCGCAACGAGGCTATGCTTAGCCTGATTCAGAAGACTGGCTTGCGGTCATTCGGCTGTTGTGCTGCAAAGCAAAAGAACAATACAAACCGTGTCAATCAGTTCGTCCCTGCAGAATTTATCGTGTGAATCTGCGGATGCCGCTGCTGGCTCGCGACTCCCTGCGCCAGACAGTCATCGCGGCAAGAACCTGAAAGCACGCTCTCCTGTTAAACAATGCCGAAAGACGTGGCCTTGCCTTACTGTGATTCCAACTGGGAGGTCTTGGTAGTGGTGTGTTACGTGATCTAGACCTTATCTGAGCTGTTGTGGTATACGATTCTAGCACTGCAGACGTCATTGTGAAGCCAATGTCGCGCAATCCAGACATCAACGAAGTGGATGAGGTGGATGAGCTTCATCAGCACGTAAGAAATTCTGCACAGAGCTGCAGCTCAAGCTGCTTGAGCCAACAATATCTCAGGAGAACCTGCGGACTGTGAACATCGCAGAGCTGCGGGAAGCAGACTCCGCTGGCCACCCTGCAGTGCCTCCCCTGATCATTGCCTCCCTGAGCCGGCATGAACTGCCTCTCTGCTCCTGTACGGTCATCAGCCACTCTGTGACTGTGTTGCCACGGCCACTATGCCAGGTCCGCGTGCTGCGGCAGGCCTGCTGTGAGCGTCTTCGTGGCAATGAGAAGATCTGTAATGTCTTAGAATTTCACATGCGTTCGTCGCACGATCTGTGTTGGGCACCATCATTCAGCTAAAAGTCATAGCTCGCTCAAGGACGGGCTTCTTCCTCGTGAAAAGCCACGGGCTTTCTCAAGATGTCCTCGATGAGATGTTTGCAACCAGGCCGCGGTTCTGCCTTGGACCATAAACTCGGCTCGCGGACTCGCGGCGCTTGCCTCTGAGGACATGGCCAAGGACTTTTTTCAGCTTCCGCTCGACGCGAAGCTCAAGCACAGCAGCCGGCCGGCCTCGTTACGAAACATAGTCATAAGGCAATAAGGTACATCTAAGTGTAAACATGAGAATATATATATATATATATATATAATCGATGTTCGATGTTTTAATTCCGCTAGCAGTGTGGTATACACAGTTGGGATTCTTGCGTTCAGAGTGAAGAGAATTGGTTGCCGTCCGCGCGAGGCGCTAGTGAGGAGCTACCGCTGTGGTGAGGTGTATCTTGTCCCGTGATTTCTACACGACCGGGAGGTTGCGCCAACAACCGCCGCTGTGGCTAGGTGCATCTACCATTATTTACACACGATCCGTGCGGCCGCGTTCGGAAAGCGCGATTCATTGCAAATTCCACTACACTGGTGTCATTTTGCCCTGGACATGTCCCATTCCGGCCAGTATATGAGAGGAAGGATCACGTGACTGAATCCGCCGGGGGGGAAATTGTTCCTTTGGTGTCCTGGTCGTAGAAGTCGTCTTGGTCCTGGCTCTCCTTGGTGTTCCCAGGCCCAGGTGCGACTAGACTTGCTCCAGTCCTTCAGTGCTTCTTTGGGAATCCGAAGTCGAAGAAGTGCGAAGTGGGCGAAGAGGGGCCGAGGGCTGGCCGAGGCTCCGAGACGAGCGGCTGGCGGGGCTACAACCCCTATGGCAGCGGACAGAACTGTGCCTTGGCGATAGAGGAGCTGCAATCGGTGTAGTAGGAGCATCCACGAAGCGCACACAGAAGGCTGTCCCAGAGCCTTTGTCATCGACATGCCAGTCTGAAGGCTCACTGAGCACCAAGCGTCCGGAGAGTCACCAAGCAGCAAGCAGAGTAAGGCCGCATCCTGTCTCGTACAGGCAAGGGGGGGATAAACTCTTAGAAGGAGAAAGATAGTGAAGACTGCCTTGGAGGCAAAATACTTGAGACTGCCGTGGTCTGTTGCACCAAGGAAAAGAAACATTCTATTGCGGCGAGCCTCCAGGTGCTGCTGAAGGCCAGGCACCTCGAGAGCCGCTTTTTTGGAGATGGTCTGTATGCAATTTCGGCACAGCCTGACCTCTCATGTCGCGTGGAGAGCAGGCATACCTGAACCGCTGCCTGCTTTCTACGACAAGCTTCGATTTTCGGTCAGCAGTCGAGAGCATGTGTGGGGGTGAGAACTGCACTACAGTGTTACAGGCTTCCGTTCGTTTCGGGACTCAGCAGAGGACGTTTCCATTCCTCCCTGCTGCAGCTGTCACGCGAGCTGCTCAGGCAGACGGGGAGGAGAGCGCTTTAAATGGTACCCATGGCATGCGTAGAAGTGAGTGGTTCTCTAAATGATGTTCCCTTTTTGGGTCCCCAATATAGTACAGCACCCTTGTACAAAGGATCCTAAAAGAGACCCTCATTTAGAGAACTACCCAAGTGAGTAGTGAAGTGAGTGCATCGTCTTGTGATGTCTCGTGGTCTTAGAACTTGGACCAAGGGGCTTGAGCTTGGCGCTTGGGCTGCCGGCTGACCACTTCGAGCTCTGTGCATTTCAGAAGCCCATTGCGAAGGCAGGGTTCCGGAAGGACTTGCGTCTTGCCAAGTTCGTTTTGGAGACTGGCCTGGCCAGGTGCTCCTCGCTTACTATCCGCCTGCTGGAGATGGCCTCCTGGCGAACAATTGTCGTGGTCTTCTGTTGGTTTAGAGGACGCAGTGGCAGTGGAAAGCTTTTTGTTCAGAACGTGCGCTCAAATGGGATCTACTAGTCCGGTGCCGCTTTTCTCTTCGGCACATCTCTTGCATGCGAACTCAGGAGACTCGTCTTGCGGTGCACACACCGTAGCAGGGCTGCAACGAGAAGAGAACGTCGGTGTATTGGACAAGCTGCTCATTGTCCTGCACCGGATCATTGAAGCTCAAAGTTCAGGTGCCAGGAAGCTCTTTCAGACCGGCGGGGCAGGGGATGCATGCATTGCAGATTTTTGCCCTGAGGACTGTGGGTTCTTGACTTTGGTTTGCCAAGACTCGGCGGAAGCCCAAGGCTGCTCAGCTACTGCCACTGTAGGAGTGTGGCATCTGGTGGCATGCGGCGCAAAAGCTTGCCATTGCGAGACCCTGGCATGTGTCTCCACAGGTCTGCAGGTACAAAAGCCGGATGGTTCCTGGCTTTCTGTGAAGACTGACCGGAGCCTCGACGGACGTTCGTGCTGCCATGTGAGTCTTTTGAAGCCAACGGTCTCGACACAACATGGTCCCCACGGAGTCAAGACAGAACGAGGTACACCCCTGTGGCAAATCTCGGCGATCTAGCACAGAGATGGACGCCTCCGCAGAGCAGACATAGTTGCCCAGCCATTGCGCAAGCTTCGCAAGTGTGCTAGCCGAATCCGGAAATGACAGACGCAGAAAGCAAGCGACAGAGAGAGAAAGCACGCAAGAAAGCAAGATGCATGGAATTGTTTCCAGACCCATGCAGGACCAATGATGTGTTTCGAAGCTCTATACATCGCGTTCTGAATGCTTCCACGGCCCCGCGCTGGAGTGTCATCTTCTTCAACAATATGGATGAGGCCAGGAAGTTCTGAACTTGTATTAGAGCAGACCTTACTAACTAGACGATGCTAGACGAAGGTGCCAGATTGCACGATGCGAACTGAAAGCACTGGGAACAGAGCAAAGGGAACGAATGCAGCCTTACGGATGGCACATGAGAATTTTCTGCCCGACCAAGAAGGTGACGCTGACTTTTACCTAGGAAAACCTGTGGGAGAACATAACCTGTGAGCCCACAACCTCCCTCCGCAGCAGGAAGCAGAGGTGGAATGTTTGGCCACCTGCGTGGACAGCGAGCGTCCCCGCAAGCAACTAGGATGAATTCAGTATCTTCAGATTATGAGGAATTGGAATGTAGCACACTTGTGTGCGAAGTGACAACTCATTGCTTCCATCACTCATCGATCGACTCCAGGGAAGTACATGAGTCGATAATGCGAATTGCTTGTACTCCGGAGCCATTTTGGTATAAGCTTCGAAGTTAAAGTTGTCTTCTCCGTTTTCTTCCCTTTCGACTGGCTGCGAAAGCTATGGCTGAAAGGCGGAGCAGCTCCTGGTTCCCGGTTCTGTGTGAGGGCAACTGGCAACTGTAACTGCGAGTCTTTTGCAGCGCTAATTCCTGCTTCGATGTTGGAAGCTTTCCCAGTGGAGGTGCAATCTACGGAACCGCTATCCACCGAACAACGAGGTGTCCCTGTGTGTCCTCGTTTTATCGATGGCACGAATTGCAACAACAGGACGATGACAAAAACCAAGTCTCCGAAAAGGCTCAAGACGATTGGGACGTCCGAGGACAGTGGATGTTGATCGACGCTACTCAGGCGATCCGGTGGGCATGGATCCTGCTCAACTATGATGCCGAGCCCACCGTCAACAAACACGTCGACTGGCTTCAAGAGCCTATCCGCAATAATGCGGTCCGCCGATTTCGGACGACCGCCTCCACGCCTTCCTTCCAGCCCGACGTGGCATCAGGGACAATATCCTCCTTTGTCCATGACGACACCGACGTGGCAACCTCCTACCCCAACTTTGCCTAGCCCTACCTTCCTGACACCGACCATGCTGAATCCGACGCCTACCTTCGCCCCCAGGCCGACATGGAGCACGGAAGGTTCCAAGGCAATAGCAAAAAGGGCAAGTTCGGCAAGGGTCGCAAGAAAGAATATAAGAACCGCTGGAGCCGACCATCGAACGAATCCTGACTACGACAGAGTCTCCGTTTTATGCCGCAATCTGTTGGGACATTTGCTCGTGGTTCACGTGACATTCTTCGATGGTATCGGTGTCGCCAGCGAGGCCCTCCGCAAGATCAACGGCAGCTCCCGAGTGACATTGGCCTGGGAAATCGATCCGGATTGCGCCAAGTTGCCCAACGACAAGTTCACGGCCGTTCAAACGGGTGGTGTGCCGAACTTCACCGTGGAAGTAGTCGCCAAATACCTCGAAGAACACATGCAGGAGAAACAATTCATCATGAGTCATTGTCATCACAGCAGGTCCTCCTTGTCCACACTTTTCTAGACTACGATTATCACCGAAATGCACGCAAGGCGATTCCGGATGGCTGTTTCAAAAAATGTTAACCATCGAGCACGAGGCACGACGACGGTTTCCCAGGATCCCTGTCGAAACGATAATCGAAAATGTCGTGCCACATCCTACAGCCCGCGAAAACTTGCCGGAGATGACGACAGCGTTGGTGATGGAACCGGTCATCGTCGATGCTACCGACGGCGGCGTCGTCCACCACAAACGGCTTTGGTGGACATCCATCGATTGGGACGAGGTTGAGCAGAAACTGGTGAAGTGGACACCGTGGACTTTGACTTGGAGTTTGGACGATGGTTGGCGCCGACTTCACAACCCATAACCCAAAGACTTACATCCCCCGACTCAAGCCAGAGGTTTTTCGCTACCCTACTGTTCACGAAACGAACAGAAACGGTTTCACTGCATCACTACCCCAACAACATAACCTGATGGACGGCCGAGACCTTGCAACGATGGGAAGCTGACCAACGACGATATCCACTTTGGCAGTACGAGGAACAGTTCCTGCTGTGGTCCGACGGATCATCGTCTACTGCTCCCACAGCCCTACGTGAACAACTATAAGGACTACCTGTGGGTTACACTTTATCTGTCAGATGGCGACCCTCTGCGACGTGACGCCGCCCTCGGCAATGCTTGGCACTTGCCTACAGCGATTTGGGTGCTCTTCCTCCTGCTCCTGGGGACAGAGGAGGCTCACATCCCGAGGTCACCGTGCGAGACTGCTGTACACAAGGAGACAACCATGTGGACGGCGGCCAATCAGGTGCCGCTCGGTGCCCCTCCCAGATCACAGCACCACGATTTCATGCCACAGTTTTCGTGGACCTAACATTTGGATTGGGCGCTACATCGTGACACAAATAGAACCCCGCGACAACTTGGTCCAACTCTACGATGGTGTGTCAAACGTCGACGACTTTCCATCATCTTCACCAATTCCGGAACAAGCGGTCATCGCCGACATTCGTGACCTGGTGGCGGAGATGGAAGACCAAACGAAGGTTTGCTATAACACTTTTTGCCCGATCATGTAGAACGAGCATACCGTCGTCACGATTCGGTCACCCAGATTCCAGTCCTCGTACATTTACTACGACAATTGCGATACCCTCAAACATAAGTCTTGTACCGCGAACTATCCGAGTAATGGGCCTATTGACGCCGGGCGTCGACTGGCGTGCAGGAACAGGAAGTACATCAGCAACAAACTTGAACAGAACTGAGTCGACGATCACTGGGAGTCATGCTAGACGAGTTTTTGAGCAGGGTCAAAATCGGACGGATGAACCGACCATTCGCACCCCCGGACGGCCGCGACAAAGAGTGGCCCCTACCAAAAGGAGCAACAAAACGGTTCTCCCATAACCACGCGACGACCCGTTCGGCAATGGCAAAACCACAATTCGTCAGGGGAAGAGTCGCGACGTAGTGCACACAATGCCCTTGACTCCTTGTCCGCAGCGAGTACAGTCGACGATGTGTCAACAGATCGACAAACATCTGGCATCTAACCGGATCTCACCCGAGGAAGCTCGGAAGATGGCGGGCAAATGCAACTTGCTCACCGGACGCCTCTTCGGAAAGGTGGGTAGAGTATCAGTCGAGGTCTTGTATGCCAGGGCCAAATCGAATACCACCACCATCGACAAACCGAGGCGGTCTTCTTTGTTAGCACTTAAAGACATCATCAAACACTGTCGACCGATGACAATACCGAGAAACCCCGGTGATCAAGACTTAAGGCATCATCTACACCGACGCCTATTTCAAGCTGGGTCAAAGGATCTGCCGCCCAGTCGACGAAGATCTTCCCAGCTGGAGGGCCGCCGACACGGCGAACAACGAGGATGGATGGGCGGCGAGCTGCTTCCACCGAGGTGATGTGCAGAAGGCGGCCGACTTCCAAGGCCGTTTACCATCGGTCCCCGTGCGACAATTTTCCTCCGACAAAGCTTTCATTTACCTGCTGGAAGCTTGGTCAGCGATCCTGGCTCCGATCGTCTTCGAAGCGTGGCTGGACAAGTTCTACATGCAGTGCTGAGACAACGAAGCCTTTAGACATGCACTTATCAAAGGCGTAGGAAAACAGCAGCCGCTGAATTGCTTGGTGGCAGCACATTGGACGTGGCATAATCGGAAGGGCTTGGCGCACCGTCTTGAACGAGCGCCCACGAAGCCCAATGTGTCCGATGCTTTGAGTAGATTCGAGGACATCGAACAAGCCACAAACTGGATGCGACTGGATCTCCCTTTGGCGCATATCACGAACAGAGCTGCGAAGATCATAGGTGACATGGTTTACGACAAGCGCAGGTTTTTCCAACACACCAGGCATCGATGCATTGCGCCATATTGCACCGATCCCTGCTGCAGAGAGACCAGTAGATTCGCCTGCGGTGGGAGGAAGCGACCACCACCGTTGGAAAACGGTCGGTCCTCCGAATCTCGAAAGCATACGTTGGTACGAAGTACGAACGATACACTCGAGATACTTGAATATGCATGAAGGAGTCTGAAGTCGCAGAATCGGCAGTTGAAGCGAAAGCAGTTGGACAAGGTGCGAACTGCAGGGATCTATGCGTGCCGGTGAAAGCATCCGTTGTCGTGTAGCACACTTATGTGCGATGTGACACTTCAGTGCTTTCATCACTCACCGATCGACTCCAGGGGTTGTACATGAACCGATGAATGCGACTGTCTTGTATTCCGTTGCAGTTTTGATATACGTTTCGAAATTTAAGTTTTCTTCTCCCGCCCTCCCTAACACTGTTACGTCTCAGTAGTTTGTTCATTTCCCGTCTTCCGAATCTCGAGAGCATACTTCGGTACGAAGTACGAACGATACATTCGGGATAGAGGAATATGACTCCGAGGCCGAGCGTCCCGACCGGACGGTGAGGGAGGGTAAAGCCTCCCGGTAGACCGTCCCAATTTAAAACACGCATTTTACAACAAGACTTTGACATGCCAAAATCCCTTGCCCTGCCTTCGATGGCTTGTTCTCGCCATCAGCGCTTGGGAGCTTGCGCAAGGTACCTGAAAACCACATGCGGTCTCCAAGCAGCATTGGGGAGAGAGTGTAGTGTCCAATTCCATGTGGTTCGCCAGCCCTTGTCTGCGTTCGATGGCTGGCATTGACGTTTCATTCAGGCGAGTATGTGGCTGCAAAGATGCCCTTCGGAAGCACTGCAACTTCAGTTCGAGTCCACATTCGTTGTTTCAAGCCCGACCGTCCGTTAGTGTTCTGGCCAGGCAAGAAATGAGAAGCCATGCGTCACGAGAATAGACACAGCTTGGCATGGCTTGATTGCGTATTGCCGAAAAGTTGCGAGCATCGGATTCTTTGTGAGCATGCATCTGCAGATTGTTATCTGAACAGAAGCCCTGTAATGCCGACCTATCGTCATCCTTTCAAGCCTTCTTCGCTGTTCTACCAGTAGCGAGGATACATGCAAACATTGAAAGCGCAGTGGTTCGAGGCGCGGCTGCGATTGGCGTTGACAAAGTTCTACGCTTCGCGAAAGACCGGCCGGTAGCCCACATCCAGAAACCCAAGAATGGCCTGTGCCTTCGTAGATGGACTGGGCTCCGTGAAGGTCTACTTTTATTCAATTCGCCGTGTTGCCGGGTCATGCCGCATTCCTTTCGGTGCAAGATTCCCTCCGGAGTATTCCTTCCGCTTGGCTGGGACAAGACGCCCCAGCGCCATGGGTCTCGCCTTCACGAAGATATGGCAGCGCCTCATTGGGAAGCAGGAGATGCGCATTTTGATGGTCGGCTTAGATGCGGCCGGTAAGACCACCATCCTCTACAAGCTGAAGCTGGGGGAGGTGGTCACCACGAGCCTTCCAAGCGATATTGCTGTGATCCAGTG